CAGCGCAGTTGTAAAATTTTTAATTGTTTTGCTGTTAATCTGCTAAATAGTACATATTGTGCATGCTCTTCATATCTGAGAGTCAAACAGAAGCGTCAAATACTGCTGTCACATTGCAGTTTTAAAACTTAAAATAATCTGGGGGCTAAAAAGTACATTAGTGGGGTGCTCTTCATATCTGAGAATCAAATAGAAGCATCAAATAGTGCGGTTACAGCGTAGTTGTAAAAAGTCTGATTGTTTTGCTGCTAAACTGCTAAATAGTACATTAGTGGCGTGCTCTTCATATCTGAGAATCAAATAGAAGCGTCAAATAGTGCGGTTACAGCGCACTTGTAAACATTCTAATTGTTTTGCTGCTAAACTGCTAAATAGTACATTTTGGGCATGCTCTTCATATCTGAGAGTCAAATAGAAGCGTCAAATATTGCGCTTACAGCACAGTTGTAAAAATTCTAATTGTTTTGCGGCTAAACTGCTAAATAGTACATATTGGGCGTGCTCTTCATATCTGAGAGTCAAATAGAAGCATCAAATAGTACGGTTACAGCACAATAGTAAACATTCTTATTTTCTGGGTGCTAATCTGCTAAATAGTACATTAGTGGGGTGCACTTCATATATGAGAGTCAAATAGAAGCGTCAAATAATGCAGTTACAGCGCAGTTATAAACATTCTAATTGTTTTGCTGCTAAACTGCTAAATAGTACAGTTTGGGCGTGCTCTTCAAATGTGAGAGTCAAATAGAAGCGTCAAATAGTGCGCTTACAGCACACTTGTAAAAATTGTAATTGTTTTGCTGTTAATCTGCTAAATAGTACATATTGTGCATGCTCTTCATATCTGAAAGTCAAATAGAAGCGTAAAATACTGCTGTCACATTGCAGTTTTAAAACTTAAAATAATCTGGGGGCTAAAAAGTACATTAGTGGGGTGCTCTTCATATCTGAGAATCAAATAGAAGCATCAAATAGTGCAGTTACAGCGTAGTTGTAAAAAGTCTGATTGTTTTGCTGCTAAACTGCTAAATAGTACATTTTGGGCGTGCTCTTCACATCTGAGAGTCAAATAGAAGTGTCAAATAGTGAGGTTACAGCGCAGATGTAAAAATACTAATTGTTTTGCTGCTACTCAGCTAAATAGTACATTTTGGGCGTGCTCTTCATATCTGAGAGTCAAATAGAGGCGTCAAATACTGCTGCCACATTGTAGTTTTAAAACTAAAATTTTTTTGGGTGCTATAAAGTACATTAGTGGCGTGCTCTTCATATCTGAGAATCAAATAGAAGCGTCAAATAGTGCGGTTACAGCGCACTTGTAAACATTCTAATTGTTTTGCTGCTAAACTGCTAAATAGTACATTTTGGGCATGCTCTTCACATCTGAGAGTCAAATAGAAGCGTCAAATATTGCGCTTACAGCACAGTTGTAAAAATTCTAATTGTTTTGCGGCTAAACTGCTAAATAGTACATATTGGGCGTGCTCTTCATATCTGAGAGTCAAATAGAAGCATCAAATAGTACGGTTACAGCACAATAGTAAACATTCTTATTTTCTGGGTGCTAATCTGCTAAATAGTACATTAGTGGGGTGCACTTCATATATGAGAGTCAAATAGAAGCGTCAAATAATGCAGTTACAGCGCAGTTATAAACATTCTAATTGTTTTGCTGCTAAACTGCTAAATAGTACAGTTTGGGCGTGCTCTTCAAATGTGAGAGTCAAATAGAAGCGTCAAATAGTACGGTTACAGCACAATAGTAAACATTTTTATTTTCTGGGTGCTAATCTGCTAAATAGTACATTAGTGGGGTGCACTTCATATCTGAGAGTCAACTAGAAGCATCAAATACTGCTGTCACATTGTAGTTTTAAAACTTAAAATTTTTTGGGTGCTAAAAAGTACATTAGTGGGGTGCTCTTCATATCTGAAAGTCAAATAGAAGCGTCAAAAAGTGAGGTTCCAGCGCAGTTGTAAAAATTCTAATAGTTTCCTGCTAATCTGCTAAATAGTACATATTGGGCGTGCTCTTCATATCTGAGAGTCAAATAGAAGCATCAAATAGTACGGTTACAGCGCAATTGTAAACATTCTTATTTTCTGGGTGCTATTCTGCTAAATAGTACATTAGTGGGGTGCACTTCATATCTGAGAGTCAAATAGAAGCATCAAATAATGCGGTTACAGCGCAGTTGTAAGCATTCTAATTGTTTTGCTGCTAAACTTCTAAATAGTACATTTTGGGCGTGCTCTTCATATCTAAAAGTCAAATAGAAGCGTCAAATAGTGCGCTTACAGCACAGTTGTAAAAATTCTAATTGTTTTGCTGCTAGTCTGCTAAATAGTACATTAGTGGGTTACACTTCATATCTGAGAGTCAAACAGAAGCGTCAAATACTGCTGTCACATTGCAGTTTTAAAACTTAAAATTGTTTGGATGCTAAAAAGTACATTAGTGGGGTGCTCTTCATATCTGAGAGTCAATCTGAGGATCTGAGGAAGCCGTCCAAGGCGAAACGCGTCATCACGTCCGTACGCGCTAACACGTGACAGAACGAAGCTCAGCCTCCCGAAAGAAATCCCTGTGATTACCGATCCCTGTGTAAAACCGTCTGTGCTAACCGCTGTCTTTGAAGTTTCACTGCAGGATAAGGGGTATGAACCTCTGTGGATTAAAGGGGACATTGCTCACATGTTTGTGCATTTTTAATTCTATTGGGAATAAAGCGTGTTTCTTCATTCAAGCTGCCACACTCTGATTCTTACCTACTTTTAGTCCCATTGGTGGACAAAGCCAGAAAAATTAGAGCAGACTTCTTACTGCTCTCCCCTTGTGAGTCTGATTCCAATTTCTTTTGGTCATTTTCATATCTCTTATAAAACAGTATTATGCTATGTTTATTTTTTCTGTTTTTTTCATGTCCTCATACATCATTGGAAGAAATAGTGTGAGTTTTCTATTTCTTTAATAAGTGTTTGTATTAATTTTAACACAAAACACAATTGCAATTTTGCACATTATTAGAATAATATATTTTTTATTGGTAATTTTTGTTTGCACAGTGCACTGTCACTTTCACTTCGTAGCACTTTATATTTTAAAGATATAGAGCCCATTTTTATCTTTTGAGTCAAATAGAAGCGTCAAATAGTGTGCTTACAGCTCAGTTGTAAAAATTCTTATTTTCTGGGTGCTAATCTGCTTAATGGTAAATTTGGGGCATGCTCTTCATATCTGAGAGTCAAATAGAAGTGTCAAATACTGCGGTTACAGCGCAGTTGTAAAAATTCGAATTGTTTTGGTGCTAAACTGCTCAATAGTAAATTTGGGGCGTGCTCTTCATATCTGAGAGTCAAATAGAACCATCAAGTAGTGCTGTGACATAGCATTTTTAAACATTAAAATGTTTTGGCTGCTAAATAGTACATTTACGGCCTGCGGTGCACTTCATATCTGAGAGTCAAGTAGAACCGTCAAATACCAATAGAACAATAATGTAATTCGGGGGCAATACCCTCACAAGTCAAACTGAGAGGTCAGTTTATAGGGAAAACTGTTGCCTGGATACAATTCTAAAACAATTTTCATATGTCCTTTGCAGACTTTACATGCTGGAAAAACACAGGAGGGCAGGGTTGAGGAGTGGGTAGAAGATGATGTGGAGGATGATGAGGTCGTAGACCCCACATGGAATCAAGGTCATGCGAGTGACGTGTGCAGTTTGGAGGAAGAGGCGCTGGTTGCACAGAGGCACCAGCACAGCATAAGAGGGAGCAGGGTGCAAAAGCGGAGCGGCCATCACCTAACGCTCGTCGGCATGTATTATCTTTAGAATTCCCACAGTTATCCAAGCAATAGATAAAAGGAACCATAACATCGCAGTCCGGTGACACTGTCTGGGCGGCGGTCGGATGACCAGGACCCAGTATGCCTAATGTTGAAGTTAGGAGTCACAGTGTGAAATGGATTAGCAGGGTCTGGTGCAGGGTAACCGCATCTCCCCTGTTGTTGTGCACCAGCGTTTGTGCGGCCTCATACCAGGAGCCTGATGCAGCTTTAGTAAAAAGAGTATTGGATACCAGAAGCCATCACCAGACTGATCCGCAACTTGGAACAGGATGTGACATTCACTGTAGCGGCTGTGCGAGCTTTCGGCGTTCTTACCATGCTGCTGCTCGTCTGTCTGCGCTGTGGCCTTCCCACTCACCGCCTCGTATGCGACGTGCCCACAAGGTGGAACTCCACCTTGCACATGCTGGAGAGACTGTGCGAGCAGCAGCAGGCGATAGTGGAGTTTCAGCTGCAACACACGGGCCAGTCGCTCTGCACCAGACTTGCCCTCTAATTGATCAGAGTAAAAGGATTTCAAGTGGACTCATTACAATTACAGGGCCTCTAAAGAGTCCTGTATTGTAT